CAGCTGGGAGGGTGCAGCTTTAGAGGCAGCTCCTTTTCCAGGGGGTTTCCCTCTGCCAGAGAAGACTGGCTCACTCTCGGGACAGCAAGCATTTGACCACCCCAAATAGCATTCAGCATGTCAACTCATTTTATTCACATCCCTCACCAGGGAACCAGAAAGCTAGGGACACGCTGGTGATTTCCTGGTTTTATGGCTCTCGCTAGCATAGGAGTCCTGGTGTGATACTGTGGGTTAATGCACCAGACTGCAAAGCCACTGAACTGCAAGGTTGGCAGGTCAAGCTCACCAGCTGCTCCTTGGAAACCCTATACAGGGTGGCTATGGGTCAGAACTGATTCGACAGCACACAACAACAACAATAGCATAGTGGGTACAAATCGGGCTGTGAACCACAAGGTCAGCAGTTCGAAACTACCAGCTGTTCCATGGGAGAAAGGTGAGGATTTCTGCTCCCGTAAAGATTTTCAGCCTTGGAAACCCTGTACAGGGCCGCGCTGAGTCGGAACAGACTACATGGCACATATCCGCCAACTGCCACTCCCCCAAGGGCTGCAACACATTTTTGGTTCTTGTGTTCACAGTGTCCTGGCATCTGCAGTGCGGGAAACCTTCGGTGAGAGCCAACAGTCCCACAGCTTCTCCCTATTAAAAAGTGCAATTGGATTTCACATGTGTGCTTCAAACAGTAGTCTAGGCGTGATTTACAGGCTACTGTGTAGCCCCACAGCTGCTTTTTCATAGCCTGGACTTACTTGTTTCTAGGACTCTACCGCTGAGCTCCCAAGCTAACGGTCCTCCTACTTTGTACCTCCCTCAATTATTCACCCACCACTCGTCTGTCAGTTTGTCACACTGTGGTCACTTGCATGTTGCTGTGATTCTGAAAGCTATTCCACCAGTATTTTAAACCAGCAGGGTCATCCATGGTAGACAGTTTTCAGATGAGCTTCCAGACAAAGACAAACTAGGAAGAAGGAGTGATGAACTACTTCCAAATATTGAGTCACTGAAAACATTATGAAGAGCAGAGAAACACTGTCAGACATAGTGCTGGAAAATGAGGTTGGCCCAGGATCAGGCAAGTGTTTCCTTCTGCTGTAAATAGGGTTGCTATGAGTTGGTATTGACTTGATGGCACCTAACAACAACAACAACAATTATTCACAGGCATCAACATCTTCATTCCAAAATCGCGTAAAACCCATTGTAAGTATTCAAGAAAATATTTATTGAATGAATAAATAAATATAATTTCCACAGCCTTATCCATCTATGACAACAGTTTATTTGAAGGGCTTCTTAGTTGCTTATGTAAAACCCCAAACACAAACCTAGTGTTATCGAGTCAATTCTGACTCATTGAGACACTGGATATGGTTTCCAAGACTATAGACCTTTATAAGAGCAGAAAGCCTCATCTTTCTCCCTCAGAGAAGCTAGTGGGTTTTAACTTCCAACCTTCTGCTTATCCAAAAGTGCCACCAGTCTCCGTATATGTTATGTATATACACTAAAAACAGCACAGGCCCAATGAATTTTGTGGAAACCCCACTAAATGGTTCCCACCAAGGGATATTTCACCAACATGTGTGCTTTCCTGAGAAAATAAAATAAAATAAAACACTTGTATAAATTTGAATCGGGCTGCGAACCACAAGGTCAGCAGTTTGAAACTACCAACTGTTCTGCTGGAGAAAGATAAGGCTTCCTGCTCCTGTAAAGGAGCTCTGGTAGCGTAGTGGTTACGAATCGGGCTGCGAACCTTAAGGTCAGCGGTTCGAAACTACCAGCCACTCCGCGGGAGAAAGATAAGGCTTTCTACTCCTGTAAAGATTTACACCCTCGGAAACCCTGCACAGGGTCGCTATGGGTCGGAACCGACTCGACGGCACTTAACAATAACAACAACAACAAAGATTCACATCCTTGGAAACCCTATACAGGGTCACTATGAGTCAGAATCGACTCCACAGCACATAACAACAACATATAATTCAAATGCTCTTCCGAGGGCTGAACTAAGACAGGCCTGTTGGTTTTGTGCAGGAACATGAATATTATATCATCATATGGAAGACCCCAAAGGAGATGGACTGGCACAGTGGCTCATGTATAACCACAATTGTGAGATGGCCCAGGGCCCGGCAGTGTTCCCTATGCTGTGCATAGGGTCACTATGAGTTGGAAGCATCAGAACTCGACAGCACCTAACAACAACAACAACAACAACAAGGCCATCTTCTATAACATCATAAGTCAGTCCAACTTCCAAGAGAATAAAACCAGTCTTGGGGGTTGTGGTTAGTTTAGACACGGGTGCTGATCTTTCTAAAGATTTGATTTTAAGTTTTTCAGGGAAATGATGGTACAGGCAGTCTCTGGATTCCCAATGAGTTCCATTCCAAAGCTGTAACTTGAGCATAGCTTGTAATGTATTTATTTCTGATTCTTCTGTGCATAGTGCAGGTCTTGGCAGAGTGGGGTAACAAAGTTAACTGGACTCTTCTTAGCCAGTTCAGAAAAGGGAATCAAAACAATGAATGGTTTTTAGGATTCTTATGAGCTGTAACTAAGGCCTCAGAGTTCCGGTGTGGTGCTATAGGATAAGCACTGGACTGCTAACTGCAAGGTTGGCGGTTCAAACCCACCAGCTGCTCATTGGAAACCCTATTCAGGGTCATTATAAGTCAAAATTGACTCAATGACACTTAACAACAACATGAGTGAGGCCCACCTTTCAAGGTAGAAGGTCACAGGAAAAAGAAGGTGTAGCATGGAGAGGAATATCCCAGGAAAAGCCGTTGCAGGAAACAGTGCTTGAATTAATCCATTTTACCGAAATGATTGCATAGGTTTAGCTTCTATTTCAGTGAAAGAAATGAACTAATCATCTTGTTAATAAGGATCTTGCAATTGGGATTAGATTATACTTTGCCCTCTGGTTACAAAATGCCAATCCCAGGAAGTAGAATTCCAAAATGAGAAGGGTGTTGTTCCAGATCCTCACACTCTCCCCAACCCTAGGCTTAAGATTCAAGTTTTCTTAGAGGAAAATAAAGACTTTCTCCTACATTTTATTTTAAATGACTACACTGATAGCTGAGCCCTCGTGTGGCACTGTAGGATAAGCACTGGACTGTTCATTGCAATGTTGGCAGTTCAAATTCACCAGCTGCTCTGACCATCCTATACAGGGTTGCTAGGAGTTGGAACCAATTTGAAGACACAAAACAACAACACACCCAAGGACAGCTGAGGAGATATATAGCTCCATTCATTACAAGTCACAACCAGGATAATGTCTTTGTTAAGCAGAAAACCTTCAAGAATGGAAACCCAGGAAGAAGCTATAGTGATTTAACAATGATTTGCAAAGGAAAGGTCACCTAATTCTACAACTCAATAAAGTGGAGTTTAGCTTCAGGACTTACTTACCTTTTCATTTCCTTTTAGTTATCTGCTTATAGGAGTCCTGGCGTGAAGCTCTGGGGTAAAGCACTGGATTGCAAGGTTGGTTTGAACTACAAGGTCAGGTCAACACTAGGAGTGGGAACTGACTTGATAGCACTTAACAACAACAACAACATCTGCTTATAGGCCATATGGAAAAAGAACCTTTGTTGGCTTGACAATCTGATAATTAGACCATGCTGACATGTTGGGATCTTCAGATCTTCAGAACACCTAGAGAGTCTCTCTTTTTAAACCTTTAAATAGTCAAGATTAATATTTGTTATATATGGTTCCAATGGTCAGAGTTGTAACCAATAACTGAAAATCAGAGGGATAAAACTACCATTCATTCAATATGTATGAAGTGTTATATTAGGCATTTTACATATTTACTTTTTCTCATTCATCTCACACAATAACCTGTTGAGAGTGATAAGGTTATTTAATTTTACATATTGATATAGGAAGTCAAAAGTTGCCTAGGGGAACAGAACTATTCAAATGCAGATTTCTTTTCTAGTTTACTAAATTCCTCCCCAAAATGTTTAAGAACAGACATTGAGAGAAGACAGTCTATTCCTAGCCTGGAAAGTATTCAAACTAGTGCCACAAAATGCTTACTAGTGATGTTGGGGATTCAAACATTAGGGGGAGTTAGTACAGAGCAGCTCTAAGGTCTTCTACTTCTCTAAGATTTTGCAGACTTCCTCCTTCTAAGTACTAAATCATGTAGTTCCAAGACTGACCCATCCTACCTTCTTCCCAACTGATGTTTACTCAACATCCTTCAGTTGTAAGAAGGCACTAAGCTACCCAAAGGTATCATGTGACTCGAGCAGACAGACTTTCCTCACTTGCTCACCTTTCCATTCTTACTCTGCATTTTGTGCAGTTGTCATATATAGTTGTTACCTCAAACATTTCACAATACACACAGAAACAAAATGGGCTGCAAATAAAGAAATTAATCTGCATGGTAATTCCTTTTGCCTTCTTTCTCAACACCAGTCAAAGTGTCCAACACTAACCCATCCCACACTTGTGCTTGTCCTACAAGCAAATGTCAATCTATACTGTGAATATACTGACATTTGTATTAGCTTTTTAAAAACAGTATTGAAAAATACCAAACAAGTTGTTGTCAATTCAATCTCGACTCATGGCGACCCCAAGTGTCAGAGTAGAACTGTGCTTGACAGAGTTTTCAGTGACTGATTTTTTGAAAAAAGATTGACGGACATTGTTTCCAAGGTGCCTCTGGGTAGACTTAAACTTCCAAACTTTTGTTAGCAGCTGAGCGCATTAGGTGTTGTCCCTCACAAGTATAGACTGACATAGCACAACAGACTCCCTGAATTCACTTTCCAACTTCAACTTCTGTACAGTCAATCTTTTCACAATTCTTCCTTCATTTGAACCATCATGTTATTGTGCAAAAGTCTCATGTAAGAAAGCATGATTGGTCATTTCCACACCCTTAAATCCCAGCCCACCTCAGCCATAGATACTAGATAGTTAATTCTGACTCAGAAGCCCATTTTTACCATTGGAGTCTTCTATTTCTTCAGCTGGGGTAGCTTTTTGTGAGGAGTGGTGGGCGTGTGAGGAGAGGAGACTGACAATTCGAGGCCTGGGGAGGGTCAGGGCTTTTCCGTGGACCTTGAGGGAGTGTTCTTTCAACTGGCTGATTGTCATGGTGGAAAACGAGCACCAAGAACACTTGTAGGCATGTTCACCTGGAAGAAGATCATGGTAAGGAACAGAGCAGGAAACAGGAGGGAGAATGGTAAAAGGTAGGATAGTGGGGGTGGGAAACAAAATAACATGGTTAATTGACTCTTCAAGTTCTTCCCACTTGAAGAGTTAACCTTCACAGACCAGCTACCCACCTCCATCCCCACAATCACAATGCTCCTTTGGGATTAAAACATTTCAACTAGATCCATAATCAGGTTTATCTGATCCCTTTTCATTTCATGTTCTACATACAAGGATGAGGCTATGGCTTGGTTCCCTGATAGAAAGTGAAACCCAAATGTCTATGATAATCTCTTTAGATATGTTTTCAAACCCTCAATCTTCCTCTCCATACTAAGAAATGACCATGCCAATATTCATATTATTATTGTTGTTGTTAAGTACCGTTGAGTTACTTTCAACTCATAGTCACCCTGCACAGGGTTTCCAAGGCTGTAAGGTTAAAAACCAATAAACTCAGTTCTCATTCCAAGGGTCCATCAGTGACTTTTCACACACAAAGTCGCTCCTGTGCTAGCTCTATTGTGCTGTTCTCTGCCTTTTCTTCTTGACTGTTCACCTCTTCTACCTCACACATCCAATCATTCACATTTCATAAACTTCAACTTACATAAAGCACCATTTTATCTAATCAACAGCACAGAGTTGGTTAAAAAGAAATCACTTCTTTAGTTGAAAAAGAGTTATATATATGTGTGTGTGTGTGTAGCCCCAACATTTTCAATTAACAGTAATTTAAATAAAAACAGGTCGCTGTTGTTTTTAGTTTTTGTTAACAGCACTGAAATATAGGACAGATTGTAATGACCAAATTAAGTAAAAGTGTAATTTACCTTTGCTTTTAAATAAATCACATGTTGTGAAAAAATAGGTTATGTGTATATTTCTGGAACAGAGGTACATGGTTATGGTCAATCAGAAAACAATTTTGCTTTATATAACAATAACTTAGACTCATTCCTTGGACTTAGACTCATGCTTTGGACTCAGTACCACTTCGGTGGGTCTATATTAAGGAAACAGCCTTTAATACATGGAAAACTTTATTTAGAAACTCACATTATTTATGCTTGAATAAGGTAAGACACAACCTAAAGTTTCAACCATAAGGGAATGATTAGGCAGATGATAGTCCATTAAAATAAATTATTGAAAAGTTTGTACTTACATAGAAAACTATAAACAAACAGAAAAGGTAATACTTTAAATTAAATTATCAAGTATTCACTTGTAAGCATGTTCACATAGTTTTTAAAATTTATATTTAATGTCAGCTTTAAAACTCATAGAATGAAGAAAGGAAAAGGAGAAGAGATGAACTTCAGTAACAAAAGCTTTGAGTACTAACAGAAACTAGTGTAACTGAGGGCAAAGCTGGTGGCCTACAGCTCAAATCTCTGTCCTTGCTGTTAACCAGTGATTTGTTACTACTTTCCTGCCACCCCGAAAATCACTAAATGGTTCACATGTGAAGAAAATCCAGCCTCCCAAGTTCTGCATTAACAAGTCTGCTGGTTACCACTGATTACTTCCAGAACTTGCATGTCCAAGACAGCCTTGAAGAGAACTTCAAAAACCTTGAATTATACCATCTTCTGCAACACAAGATGAAGTCCTGGTGTGGCACTGTAGGATAAATACTGGACTGCTATGCTAACCACAACATTCGCAATTCACCAAGCACTCCCTAGAAACCCTTTACAAGGATACTCTGAGTTGAAACTGACTCAAAGGTACTTAGTAACAACAACACAAGACAGAGTAGAATGGTTCCTCCAAAGCAGTCAGAGGAGCCACGCACCCAGCGTCATCACAGAGCAAATGATACCACAAGGTCTGGCAGGGAATAGTGGTATTTACCAGTACTGCTGCATGAATCCGAATTGTGGTATTGGCAAAGAATATTACATAGACTGCAGACTGCCTTAGAAAAAATACAAAAATGCTCCTTGGGAGCAAGGATGCTGAGACTTAAGCTTTACACATTAAGAAAAGCTATGAGAGGTCACTGAAAACAAGCACTCAATGAGATAAAGTGACAGAACAGCTACAGCAAGGCGTTTGAACATATCAAAAATCATGAAGATGGTTCAACACAGACATCTCCATAAGTAAAAGACAATACCACAGCAAATAACAACTGCTATCCTTATTCTATTTTTCATTTTTTAAATGTAGCCTGGCTGCAGAAACCTTCTTGGGTGGCTGTAGGTAGCATAACCTATGAGAGACTTCACATGGAAATTATTTGGTTAGTTCATCTCTCAAACTTGGACATACCATCAGGAGGGACCAGTCCTTAGAGAAGGACATCATGTTTGGTAAAGTGGAGGGTCGGGGAAAAAGGGGAGTCACCCAAAGAGATGGATTGGCACAGTAGCAGCTGTAGTGGGCTCAAATGCAGCAGTGATTGGGAGGTTGGCACAGGACTGGGCAGTGTTTCATTCTGTTGTGCATATAAGGTTGCTATGAGACGGTATTGACTCAATGGCACATAACAACAAATAATAGTACTTTTGAACCTTTAAAATAAAATAATCCATCTAGAATAAATGAGATCAGTCATAAATCTTTTAGAAAAATACACTGGCTTTCTTCAAACCAAGCCACTCTCAGTCGATGGAGACCAAGATCTAGGCTGTGTGATGGTGGTGGTTATGTGCTGTGGAGTCGGTTCCAACTCATAGCAACCCTATACAGGGGTTTCTAAGGCTGTAAATCTTTACAGGAGCAGAAAACCTCATCTTTCTTCCACGGAGCAGCTGGTAGTTTTGAACTGCTGACCTTAAGGTTCGCAGCCCAAATCGTGACCACTATGCTACCAGAGCATGTGTTGTTGTTGTTGTTGTTGAGTGCCATCGAGTCGGGTCCGACCCATAGCGACCCTGTACAGGGTTTCCGAGGGTGTAAATCTTTACGGGAGTAGAAAGCCTCATCTTTCTCCCGCGGAGCGGCTGGTAGTTTCGAACCGCTGACCTTAAGGTTCGCAGCCCGATTCGTAACCACTACGCTACCAGAGCTCCTACACCAGAGCATGTGTAGAGAAATGAATTATACAAGTATTGTTCCTACTCACTCATGGATGCTTCCTTCTCACCAAGTCAATAACCCAGGAGGCCAGTATGCAAAGTCTCTCTGAAAACAGAAACTTTTGCTCAGTGCTCTGGAGTCCACGTGCAACCTCTGGCATTCTCTTAAAGTCCTTCCCACAGACAAATCCGTGTGCCAACTCCACTAGTAAAAATGCTTTTGACAAGCCAGATGCCTATGGGGAAATCTCACCAGGATGGTGTCCCAGCTGAACAATTTACAAAACACACAAGTTAGAAAAGAATGATTTGAACCCTGAAGTCACCCACTGTGTAACCTTCCATAGAATTTTCCTAGAGATATCAAAATACAAACAGATAGGGTGAAACCCATAGAGCTGATCTCCTATCCCATCCCCTCCCAAAGTGGGACTTGGGAGCAGCTGAGCAGACGTTCAATGACAGGCTACGCCCAGTTCAACAGGACCCAGTACTGGAGACAGCCAAGAGAAGAGAGACCATCATGTTTCCACAGAGATGGCCAAAGAGAAGAACCTAGGCTCTTGGCTGTTAAAATGAGGGTACAAGGCACAAGAGAAACTATTAATAAACTGAAGAATCCCGATAGAACGTACTGTTACTGAGAAGATTTGATTTGTGGACGGACCTCGGATAGTACAGCTAGGTCTTCTGTGGTATTCATTTGCCCCAGTTTCCTGTGTGCTTGACTTCAGTTCCTACAAAGTGGTCAGGACATCTTAAGGGACCCAAGGCTGCTGTTGAGACTGGTTTCTGAGAGTGACTGAGAAAGAACATCATGGAGAGTCCCCTGACCTCCCCACTGCCTTCCCTAGCCCATGCCTCTCTCCTGGCTGAGCTCTGATTAGCTACCCAAGGGCAAAAGCACAGGGGATTATGTGTCTTCCACCATATGCAACGAGGAAGAGAGAGGGAGGCAACATCATCTTGACAGTACAAAGGATGTAGGTCTGACATCAAATTCTTGATGATGCACTTTTGAGCAGATCATTTAACTGAGTCCCTGTATTCTCATCTGAAAGGAGCTCTGGTAGCGTAGTGGTTATGAATCGGGCTGCTAACCTCAAGGTTGGCAGTTCCAAACTACCAGCTGTTCTGTGGGAAAGAGATGAGGCTTTCTGCCATGTAAAGATTTACAGCCTCAGAAATCCTGTGCAGGGTCACTATGAGTTGGAACTGACTAGATGGTACTTAACAACAACAACAATTCTCATCTGAAAGTGAGGATGACAATAATATCTACTTCCTAGGACTCACTGAAGAGTCTTGGTGTAGCGCTGTGGGCTAATGTGCCAGACTGCAAAGCCATCTGAACTGCAAGGTCGGTGGTTCAAGTTCACCAGTTGCTCCTCAGAAACCTTATACAAGGTTGCTATGGGTCAGAACCGATTCAATGGCACTTAACAACAACAACAGGACTCACTGAGACCTACATCCATCCTGGCTGCATTAAGTAAGATGATGGATATTACATGTGTAAGGTCCCTGTGCATGAATAAATATTCCAGATTGGTAGTTTGAACTCACCGAATGACACCACAGAATAAGGAGCTGGCAACCTGTCTTCATACAGAAAACCCTAGGGAACAGTTCTACTCTGTAACACATGTTTGCCATGAGTTGGGATTGGCTCAATCACAACAGATCTGGTTTTGGTTTCAGTACAGAACAAAATCTATTAAGAGAGTGCTCTGAGAAGGAACACAGAGATAAACACAGCTCCTGGCCACTCAAGACCCAGTCATTTCCTATCTGGTATATGGAAACGTATCTAAGAGAATCCTGTAAGAAGTCTCACACATCTGGAGTTCTCTTTGACTATTTGCACCTGGTTGGGACTAAAACTTCAGTTTAATTGGAAACCTCTAGTGGATGTCTGCATTTCCATTAGGAAGGGTAGATAATCTAGAAGGTTCTATTAAAACATGCTGCTCAGTGCCATTAAGTCAATTTTGACACTTAGCAACATTGTATAGGATTCCTGAGGCTTTATATCTTTTGCAGGAGCAGAAAGCCTCACCTTTTTCCTGCAGAGCAACTGGTGGGCTTGAACCAGAGCTTATCCTATAGAACCACGGTGCTCCCATATTAAAACATAAAACAACCTAATACTAACCTATCTAGATGTATGAAATAAATTAGAATATGGGCTTTGTATTGCTCTGGCTTCTGGCACTTTCTTTTATCATACTAAAAAGCACTGAACACAAAGCCAAGTCAAGGAAAACTTCTTACATTCATTTGTAGACAAGAGAGAATATAAAATTTCACCCAATAAACATCATTCAATTTAAAACTCACAGAGTGCAAAGAACTTGTACATCACAAATAACAACTCACCAGCATGAGCTTTGAGTATATGTGTTTTCAGCCGGCTGTTATAGGACGACTTGAAGGAGCAGAGCTTGCATCGGAATGGTTTATGGTGTCCGTGGTGGGTTTGCATGTGGCGATCCAAACTGGACACAGAGGGGCAAGGAAAAAAGAAAATCTAAGATTAAAAATTGTGTGAGGCATCTTCTTATGGCTCCTTTTCTAGGAACACCCATTATATGCTGTTCAATGTCTTGTTACTCTCCAATGACCATCCTTACACACTCAAAATAATAATAAAATGTGAAACTAAAAACATTGGCAAGAGTTGTGCCTGCTTCAAAATTGTGGCTGATAAAGGATGAAACCAAAAGATCTTTAGGGATTGAAACATGGCAATGTAACAGGTCATAGTGAACTCTTATGTGCCTTTCTGCAGAAACACAACTTTTCACAATTGGAAAAACCCAAACTTACAGCCACTAAGCTGATTCTGACTCACAGAGACCTGATAGAACAGAGTAGAACTGCTCCTTAACGCTTCTGAAGCCGCAAATATTTACAATAGCAGACAGGCTCTCTTCCTTCCAAGGAGTGGCTGGTGGGTTTAAACCTGCAACCTTGCGAGTTAGCAGCCCATATCTACCCCACAGTGCCATTCAAATAAAGAAGGTAAAACATGGGTAAATTCAAGTGTCCCACCAAGGATTTGAGGGATGCCTATCATTTAGTGCTTTAACTTATTTCAAAAAAAGAGAAAGAATTGGGAATTCAGAGAAAGCTATTTTAATAATAAGGAACCCACATTATTACATAATAATTATTGGTCTAAAAAAATTCCTACGCTTACCAAACAAGGTACATGAAGAAAGTCCCAATTTCGTATTACCCAATAAGCAAGGTGAGCACAGGTTTACTGTGCTTACTGACTAATCTGCAGCTGTTCACTACAGATTAGTCAGTAAGCATGAGTAAGTCCATGCTTACCTTTGCTTATTGGATAATTGGCCCCTACTATCAGTATCCTGTTGTTGTTAAGTGCTGTTAAGTTGGCTCTGATTTTTGGTGACCTTAATAGAGTTTCCTGGGAGGCAGTTGGTGAGTTTGAACTGTCAACCTTGCAACTGGTAATGCAGTGTTTATCCTACAGTGCTACACCAAGAACAAAATTTCATTTTAAATGATTCCTATGGGATGCTACTGTTTCCCATTTAAACACTGAACTCTCACGGTCAGTTGCCTGTGGCCATCTCCCTCTGATGTTCTTTAGCTAGAGCTTACTCAATCAGCACTAAACAAACCCATCAATTTTTCCTCCCAAACAAATCCTCTTCATTTCCTTGTTACTATAAATGGCAATTTGCCTAGTCAAACGGACTCTCAATCTAGAGGCTGTCCTATCTGGAGTCTATTTTATCCCTCTTTCTCTACATTAAAGTCAATTTTTCCAAGTCATGCAGATTGTAATTTCCGCACCATTCTTCTAAGTTCTACACTAACTTCTTTGATAAATTACTATAACTGTCTCCTAATTGCCTCCCGTCCCCTGCTTTCCTTTTTTTTAACTCAGGAGCATAGTCTAAAGAGTCAGATTGAAATCCTAGCTATTATTTATCAACTATACAACCTTGGGCAAGTCATATAGTTATATAGGATCATATGTCATAAGGATGTTTTCAGCATGAAATAATACTTCATGGTGCACATAGCAAGGCTCGTGGAATGTTAGCAATTATAATTACCTGAACCACACTTTTACCAATATCAATTAGAAAGCTGTGATGCCTTACATTCAAAGTCTCTAAATATGGTGTCCACTTGAGTATTCAGACTTTCTCTTTCATGAACTCTAACACGTAAAACTTAACCACCAGCTGGTCCTCAAATGAGCTTCATACTCTCCTTATTAGGCTTCAGTTCTTGCCGTTTCCTCTACCTCCTACATTCTTGACAAACTGTGGCTCAGTGGTAGAATCCTCGCCTTTTGAACAAGAGATCTAGGTTCGATTCGTAGTCCATGTATCTCGTATACTGCCACCATCCAGAGGGCTTGTGTGTTGCTATGATGCTGAACAGTTATCACTGGAGTTTCCAGACTAAGACTAGAGGAAGCGATCTACTTCCAAAAATCAATGAAAGCCCAATGGGTTACAATGGTCCAATCTGCAGCCAATCCTGGGGATGACACAGAGTCAGGCAGCACTTTGTTCCACTGTGCACGGGGTCATCATCAGTCAGGGGCCAATGATGGCAGCTAGCAACATCACTGTTGTAGCAAGTAACAAGAAGCTTCCTACTTAGAGATTTGACTCAAACACTTTCTATTCTACGAATCCTTTCTAAACATAGAGTCTTGGTGTGATGCTGGGGGATAAAGCACTGTACAGCAAGGTCAATTTGAACCACAAAGCTGTTGGTTCAAACTCACCAGCCGGTCCTTGGAAACCCTATACAGGGTCACTATGAGTTGGAACCAACTCAACAGCACTTATCAACAAACTTTTCTAAGTGGATGTAAAATTTCCCATCTTTGAAACTACATAGCATTTTATTGGTATTTTTAAACATATGTAAAATAGCTTGCTAAGTCTTTTGCATCTTTACTTTATAAAATGATTACACCCTAAATTCTCTTAAGAGCATAGATCATGTTATAGATTCATCTTTATGTTCCCCCCAAAGCCATGGTACTGTGCGTGGAAAAGGCTATGTTCATTTCTTCACAAGCATCTCTGGAGGCTCTACTATGTTTCAGGCAATGGGACAGAAGCTATTCCATCAACACTTATTTAAGGAAGAGAATCACACCAGTGGTTATATACTGATGCATGGGTCTGATAACAAACAAAGCTTTTAGGCTCCGTATAAGTTTATTGCCCATCCTAACCTCTGTAGCAACACTGTCTCCTCCTACCTTTCAACAGTCACTAACTTGAATTTTACCTTTTTGAGAAGCAAACCGTCTATCACTTATTTCTAATTATCATGAAAATAAACAACATGTCAGTCTTACAATCAATCACCTTCCATACAAGAATGTCAGAATGCATTACTAATTATTTATATTTTATACAGCTGAAAGGAAAGGGCACTAAAAGGTTGTTTCTTTTCAGAGGTTGTCCTCCTCCCCCAAAGCTGTACACACCTATCCTGAATTTACAACTCCTAATCTGATAGCGTAGTGGTTACGAATTGGGCTGCGAACCTTAAGGTCAATGGTTCGAAACTACCAGCCGCTCCGCGGGAGAAAGATGAGGCTTTCTACTCCCGTAAGGATTTACACCCTAGGAAACCCTGTACAGGGTCGCTATGGGTCGGAACCGACTCGACGGCACTTAACAACAACAACAACAACAATCTGAGAGGAAGGAGCTCTGGTAGCGTAGTGGTTACGAATGGGGCTGTGAACCGCAATGTCAGCAGTTCGAAACTACCAGCTGTTCCACGGGAGAAAGATGAGGCTTTCTGCTCCCGTAAAGATTTACAGCTTCGGAAACCCTGTACAGGGTCGCTATGAGTCGGAACCGAATCCATGGCACATAACAACAACAACAACAACAATCTGAGAGGGGCAAAGGGAAGCTCTCTCTCTCTCCTCCCCTCTCCCTCCCTGAACTTTAAGCTACTCTGTGGCATCCATAAACTCTCTTGCTTTTCATGGTCTTCTTCAAACTAACAAGCTATGGCTTTTTGGCCACACGGGCTAATAATCCTAACCTTACTACACAGTAACTCAATTTCCTAACTTCCTCAAATGATAAGGTTTGGGATGGATATCTAACAGACACATTGATAAACTTGTCTACATCCTGGCCCTCTCCTGTATAAATTGTAGTGATTCCTCCAATGCTCACTTACAAAATACCTACGTTTGCCAAGTCTAATGTTGTTTCTGACTCATCGAAATCCTGTATAGCATTTCCAAGGAGTGGGTAGTGAGTTTGAACCACTGATTTTGTGATTCAAACCAACCTTGCTGTCGGCGAAGTGCTATTAAATCAGTTCTGATCCATAGCAACCCTGTATAGGGTTTCTTAAGAGCAACTGGTGAGCTTGAACCACCACTGTTGTGGTTCAAAGTGACTTTGTAGTCTGGTGTATTAACCCACATCACCACCAGGACTCATATATGTGTGTGTGTGTGTGTGTGTGTGTGTGTGTGTGTATGTGTATGCATCATTTAGGACTTCTGGTGTGGCGCTGCCGGTTAATGCAATAAACAACATCAGTTTGGGCTGTTAAAGTCGGCAGTTCCAACTCACCAGCTGCTCCTTGGAAACCCTATACAGGGTTTCTATGAGTCAGATCCCGACTCGATGGAACTTAGCAACAACATCCATCATTTTATATATATATATATGTATGTGTGTATATACATCATATTATATATATATTGTTATGTGCCATCGACTCAGTTCCGATCCATAGAGATCCTGTATAGGGTTTCCAAGGTCAAGCTGGTGAGCTTGAACTGCTGACCTTGAAGTTCAAATGGCTTTGCAGTCTGGTGCATTAACCCAACCGCGACACCTAGACTCTCTCTCTCTCTCTCTATCTATATATATACATATATATATTCACACATACACACACACATACATATATATTTGTTTCTTTTCTTGTTTGTCACCTGATGTGGCACTGTAGTATAAGAAGCAGTTGAAAACCACCAGCCACTTCTCAGAAACCCCACACAGGGTCAGTATGAATTAGTCCCGACTCGACAGAAGTTAATAACAACAACAAATATCATCCAAATAATCTACTGTTTGTTTTGCAGCCTGATTTTACAGATGGGACGACTGAAGCTCAAGAAAACATAGTAACAGTAGGCATGAGCCATGTGAGGGATCTTCTGACTCCTCCAAGCTTGTCCAGCTCTAGCTTAGCTGCCCTCAGTATGACACCTACCTCCTGCTAATATACATGCCTCAGCCTCCTGCTGAGAACCACACACACACAAACACACACATGCCTCAGCATCAAAATAAACATTCACAGCCCTCAGCCTCTCCCCTACTATGTGACATTTCCTCCCAGTTACCAACTGCAGCTACCCAATAGCACTTACTTGTGCCTGAAAGCAGATACAAAGGAGCAATACTGGCAGCTGTACTTGTCCTCGCGGGTAAACATGGCCAGGGTCAGATGGCTCCTCTCGTGAGAACGCAGCCCCTGCGTGGACATCAGTACTCTGTCACATTGACTACAATGGTATCCCCCCGGCCGGGTTTCATCCTCCAACACTGCATCAAGCAAGCAGTGTTCACCATACACCCAGTCCACCAGGGTGCCACTGGTATCTTTGGCTGCTTCATATCCATCCAGGAACAAATGGGAAGGGTCTTCAGCCTCCTGCTAAGAGAACCACACACACACACATGCCCCAGCAACAAAATAAATATCCACTGTTACTGCCCCAGCTCTCATCCTCTCCCTTCATTCTCCAAAGTCATCAGCAGTTTCTGTCCAAGCTTCTCCCTGCCTCTCTGGCTCCGCCTGGAAGAAGGGCAAACAGATGGCCGGTTTTCATGAGTCGTAGGGCTTTGAGGGCAACATATCAGGACTAAGTTCCCTATTGTCTAGGAAATGAGAGGGAAGGGTTCTTCCTCTTTGAAACAGGTCATCCTAAAAAGAAAATTCAGATTGTGATTACACCTAAACTGATATAAAGTTGGGTTAGGATTATGGCTCAGAGAAGAGAAAGAAACAAAGAAAATGAAGAGCAGGGCTAGTTTCAGTGTTTAGGAGTCTTGGGCCATCATCTGACAATGAAGAAAAGCCAAAGTTCTTGTCCCTCTGCCTTCTACTCTCAACCCCAACCCACATAGAATGGTCAGGACCCTTGATCAAAGGTTGCTGTCTGATCGATTAAAAACTCAAGAGCAGCTTGATTTTTAAGTCACTCAATTTTTCGAGTTGCCCCTTGGATTACCAGTTCCTGGGCGGTCACTCTTTCCCTCCCTCACTTCATCCCAATATATATGCATGGGATGCGCCACAGTGGTATGGAAGAAGCTGGCTACAGCTGTCTCCTGAGTTGTAACTGCTCTGCAGATAGGCAGAAGGCTTCAGTCTTTAATGAGGATAAGTAGAAGCTTTCCCTCAACACTCAACTGGCTAGAGCAAGAGCGGAGGACAAAAATGCATTCCTGTATCCATAAGGAAAGTGCAGAGCACTGAACTAACTTCTGTGATCCAAAATGAGAAGTGCTTAGCAACACCTGGGAAGATGGGATGGAGACTTAGGTAAAAATTAAAACACTGACTGCATAAGGATTATGGTGTTGAAAACAGGCGGATTATTAATAAGGTCAGAGGAAAGAGGGGATGCAACTGTCAACAGCATACAAGGAGAGGGGTTGGAGGAGAAAGACCAGGTGGACAGATTCACAGGGTCAACTCTGACTTAAAAGCTCTTAGTTTTTGATTTAACATCTCGCGAACTCCCCACAGGACATCAAGGGCCATGGAATTGAAGTTGGGGCTTCTCCTGGGGCGCTGCACCCTCAGGCAGTGGGAGGAGCAGATGACAGAAACAGAACCTGCTTGATGGCTCTCTAGAGCTTGGGCAACTTTAGCTCCAGCAAACACCTAATGGCATTAAATGTAAAACACAAAGACAGCCAGCAGCCTCCAGCACTGAGAGAAAGGCCCAGACCTTCATTCTCCAAATTATCCATGTGGGTGGAAAACCCAGAACGAGAAGCTGTGGATGGTCCAACCTGCAAAGAAAGCAAAACAAGCCAAGCCAAGCCAAGCCAAGTCAAGCACAGCTCAGGAAGGCCTGCATTCTGAGACTCTCTTTCTGGAGAGGCTGGAAGCAGTGGGGTTAATGAGTAACTGGAATCGCTGGCACACAAGAATGCTCATCCAGACCTTCAGAGTTCTCACCTTCACGGCAGCGGACACGGCCGGGACGCTGCCATACTGGACGTGCTTTCGGAGGTGATTGCAGATAGCTCGGAGCGTCGGGTGCACTTCCACACAGAATTTACACTTGTAGCCCACCACTTTCCTCTCCTTGATCTTTGGCACCTCTTCTAAGTGACCAAAAGGCTGGTAAAATACAGTGGTAACCATCAGTACTCTGAGCCCTCCCTCAAAGCCAGCATTCATTCTTGTCACTAGCATATTTTATTTTTCAATAGATTAGTGGATTAAACCCAGGGATATATGTGTGTGTGTGTATGTGTGTGTGTTCGTTTTCATATTACAAATTCGTCAGCATCAAGGTACACTGCAAACTACGCAATGTCTCTGGAACCCAATATGTTAAACCTTGTGAGTAGAGCAGATCTTTGTGTAGAAGCCTCATCTTCATTGCCAACTGGTTTTCCAACCAGTTTCAACTACGCAGGTGAACGTTGCATAGTTACGCCATTAATGACCTTCTTGCAAAAAAAAAACAAAAAACTCTACTCCTGGAGAAGTTAGGTTCCTGTAGCAAACACTGAAGACCAAAACATGGCTGAGCAAGTGCTACAGATACCAAGAGACAGCCCGCAACTGCCTTATGGAAGAAAGCAAGTGTTGTCCTGTAACTAGGCTTTAGATAAGGCTGCTTGGCAGAAAGAAATACACAGAAACCACCCCAACCTCCCCTGGGGAGCCTTGGGAGGAGTCAGAGGAAGGGAAGGAGTGGACTGGGACCGTGGAGAGGGGTGAGCAGAGAATGGGGGATAATCAAGCTCGCAATGCTTAATTGACTTATTGAGCTCTCTGGCAAGCTAAGTCACTAGGAAGCCTGCAGCAGTTTGGCTGGCAACGAAGAAGTGCATGTGGGCACCAGTGCTGAGAGGCCTCCTGGGGGAAGGGAAATCAAAACATATCCTTACCCTCTCTTGTTTGAAATCTGCAAAAGCACCATCTGCATATTTCTGCTTGCTCAAAAGCTGTTTCCTCCTCTCCTGACGTTTGGCACGCTTCTGGAATTCCTCATTGTGAATGTTCAAGTGTGAGGTCAGCTCCGCTGTGCTTTGCAGTTTGCTGTCACAGTGCTTGCACTGGTAGGTGGAGTTCTGCAAGCGGGGGCCAGTGCTCAGAATGACGAAGTCCCTCTTGAGGTCCCGGCTGTGGTGGTCGGTGTAATGCATACACAGCAGTTCAGCCGTGCTGAATGAGAGCTTGAAGCATTTGATGCAGCGAAACGGCAGCCACTCGATTTCCTGAGCTTCGCCTTCCACCTCAGCTTTCTCAAAGCTGCCTCTCTCCTCTTCCTCCATTGGTGGCGACTTCTCGTGCTCATCGGCATACACGGCAGTGAAGTAGCTCCCCAACTTGCTGGCATGCTGCTTCTTTGGGAACACCCCCGGGTGACGCTTCATGTAATGGGACACGATGCCCTTCTTGCTAAAGGACTGGAAAGAGCACAGGGAACACTTTTTCTTCTCCACGGCCCGCCGGAGTTCCTCACTCAGCTGGGGAGAGTCGTCCTTGGGTGGAGATGGGATGATCACCTTGTTGGGCTTGTCACTGATGGTTCTAGAGGCTGCCAGGCAGTGGGTGTAATAGGCATCGATGTCATGGCGCTTCTGGTAGTGGGCTGCCAGCCCTTTGCGGATGGGGTTGGTGTAGGAACACAGGGCGCACTTGAAGAGGTTGTTCTTGCCCTCCGGCTGGGCTCGGACGTTGTTGTGCTTAATACGGTAGTGCCTGGCTATCCCCTTCCTCGTGGAACAGAAGTACTTGCAGAGCTGGCACCGGAACACAGTGTGGGAGACCAGGTGCGAGGTAGAGAAGTGAGGTGTGGACTCCGGCTCCTCACCCACCTCCTCCTCGGTCAGTGAGACTTGGGAGGGGCTCACTTCAGTGGTTATCTCGGGCTCAAGGGATAATGGCAGCTTCAGGGGCGACTGGGAAAAGACATCAAATTCAGGCTGGTTGTGATACTTCTCATAGTGGATTTTGAGTTTCTCCAAAGTGCCATGGGTGTATGGACACAGTTTGCACCGGTAGGCACCATACCCTTGCTTGAAAATCCTGCTTGTCTCCTCCACATCGTTCTGGGATATGTCCGCAGACTGCTCCACGTCATGCACAAAGTCCTCGGCGGTCACCTTGATGGACGGATGTCGCTTCTGGTAGTGGGTCAGGACGCCATGAATGCGGGTGTTGATGTAGGGGCAATGCCTGCATTTGTAGACAGCGCCTGGGTTGATGTCGATGTCCTGGGCAAAGTCAGCAGCCTTCACTTTCATGCCTGGGTGCTTCTTCCCATAATGGGTCAGCAGGCCATGCAAGTTGTTATACTCAGACTGGCATACCGTGCACTGGTACGGGGTGGAGGAGATGGCAGGGTTGGCAGAAGTGAGCTGGATGCTTTTCTCTGGGGAGAGTCTTGGGTCCTCTGGGCATTCCACTTCCTGCTCAGGGATTGGGGTGGGCATATTGTTTTCACAATTCAATGGGCCCCCCAGCTCTTCAGACAGGGAGATTGGCCTCTCAATAGCATCTTTCTCCTTGATGATATCCAGCAGCACTGATTCATCACCATTCATGGCCCAGGGGTGGAATGCTTGGTAGTGATTGGTGATGTCCCAGATGGAGGAGGCTTCAAATACACAGTCCCTGCACCTGTATGTTTTGACTTCAATTGGCATGGTGAGAGAGGGAGGGGATGGGTCTGGCCCAGCCCAGAGTTTGGTAGCCATGTAAGTATAGTCAACGTAGTGCTCTGGATGCCTCCTTTGGTAATGTAGGAGCAAACCACTGGGCTCCGGGTGGGAATAGATGCACCATTCGCAGTGGTAGCCAGCTTCTATCAAACCATCTAGAAAGGCCCATCGCATGATGGAAGTGACTGTGGCCTTCAGGGCAGGGTGGTCTTTCTTGATATGCTTCCTCAGTGCATAGAAATAGGGGGAGGTATATGAACACTGCCTACATTTGAGAGCTCGGAGTTTAGCCTTGTCCCGCTCCACATTAGACGAGGGGATGAGCATGCAGCCCGCCGACTTCTGGTTCCGATCACAGAGGCTTCGGATGGTGGCTGTGTGCTGCCGGATCACATCTGCATTGGCCTTGAAGTCTCGGTGCTTTTTCTGATAATGAATGAGTACACCTTTGACCGTTCGATTCCCGTAATCACAGTGCTGACAAAAGAACATCTCAGTCTCCACAGGAGGGGCATCTCTCTCAGAGCTGCTGCGGTTCAGCTGTTGCATGGGGGCGGGTGGCCGAGGGGAGCCTTGGGGCCCCTCAGCCCCTCTCATCATTGCGGCTGTGGGAGGAGCCTGTCTGATATATTTGGCAGTAACCTTTATTTCTGGGTGTCTTTTCTGGTAGTGGACAAGCACTCCCACTACTGAGCGATTGTTGTAGGAACAGTGTTTGCAGTAGTAAAGCTCAGTACTGAGGTCTGGTGGTGGGGGTTGTGGGGGGGGTGGGGAACCCATGTTGGACATTTTGGGAGACATTGGAGCACCCACCTCAAATGACAATTGAGAAAGGGCAGATCCCCTGTCCACAGACACCATTCGCATGGTTTTCTGGATCCTAAAGTAGGAGGCTTTTTCTTCAGGGTGTTTCTTCTGATAATGAACCAAGACAGAGTGCATGTTGGGGCTTGCAAATGAGCAAACATCACAATCATAAACCACAACGGTGTTAACTGAAGGGTCTTTCTGATTTTCACATTCTGGAGTAAACGTCTTCGAAGGAGTGTTTTTATTAAACGTAGATGACATGCCGCCACCACGAGCCACAGGAGTTGAAGTCGCCATGCTCTTGGGAGCCGAATTCAGAATCTCCCTCAGTGTCTGGGATTCCGTATTCAGCCCTTCCTGCTGCTCCACGACATAGCTTGAAAAGATCATCGCATTGTTAATCTTAACTGTGGGATGCATTCTTTGGTAATGTGGCATCAGGCTTCTCACATTCGGGCTCGTGTATGAACAAAATCGACACCGGTAGATCAGGTCTGAATGATCAAAGTTGAGTACATTCATGGCTTCCGGGTGGTGTTCACCGTAGTGTTGCTGAAGATCTTCAAAGTTGGTGTAATCGATGTAGCATTCCAGGCACCTGTACACTGCACTGTGATCATTGGGGTCCAAGATGTACCTAAAGCTGAACTTAATGTATGGGTGCATTCGCTGGTAGTGGGTGCTGACACTCCGAGCAGATTTGTTGTTAAAGTCACAGTGTTTACAATAGTAGAGCCTTCCAGAGTCACTAAAGTCTGTATTTTCATTATTGTGCTCAGTTCCATAGATAGGAGGTTGGGTGTTCAGCAGAGCGGTATTGGAAACTTGGTGATCTTTCATGTTTGCTGAGGAGCCATAATAGTCCTCTTCATCTTCTGAAAGGGTGAGCTCAATCTCAGCCCCATTGGTGGCGTTGTAATCATGGGTGACACTTCTGAAGTTGAGGTCCTTCTGGGGCTCACTGACATCTCTTGCCCAAATCTGTTGTGCTGAAAAAGAAGTAGGAATCTCCATAATTGACTCTGTTGGCTCTTCTTCCCGGTCCAGCTCAACCTCTATCTCCACTTCATTGTCTTCTTCTTCCTCCTCGTCGTCTTCCACATTGATCACTGCATCTTCCTGCTGTTTGGTTTGGTTAATTTTGCTCTGCAGGTTGCTTGCTATTTCATCAATTCTAGTTCTCTTCTTCACAGGCGATAAATCAAGAGGAAAGTCATTAGTGAGCTTCCTAGAGGACTTAGCTACAAAATTGTTCTTGGAGGACAACCCAAGAATTGAGGTCTGGCTTTTCTTCACAGTGTTGCTGGAAGAGGGGTGGCTGTCTGTCTCGCTTTCCAATGGTAGGCTTGAGGGCTGTCCCTCGAATTTTGGCAAGTTGTCACAGAATGAGTGTTTATGCTGCTGATGGACTCTTAGCCCTTTCAGAGTCATGGTGGAGTAATTACACATGGTGCATTTGTAAGGGTGCAGGGGTGGGGCTTGTGTGGGTGTCTGGGGCTGCTGTGTTGGTGGTGGCTGGGGCTGCGGCTGGGGTGGTAGCTGATGTGGTGGCTGTAGCTGCGGCGGCTGAGGCTGCTGCGGAGGCTGTGGCTGTGGCTGCGGCGGTGGCGGTGGTGGCTGGGGTGACTGTTGTTGCTGCAAGGGATCCAACATGACCCCTGACTTCCTACCATTGATGCTTGAGCTCTCATAAGACACCACACCTTCATTCAAAGAGGAAGAAAGGCTTTCAGTCTGGGAATTCACAGCATCCCAATCTGACGTTGTACCCGTGTGACACTGTTTGTGAGCCCCAAGTTTTAGTGAGCTCTTGCAAGTAAATGGACATTCATCACATTTGTAGACAGCTATCTTTCCAGACAAGTGGATGTTTTCAATGTGACGAGAGATGCTACGTCGATGCATGGTGAGGAAAGGACAAAAGGGGCACTGGAAGCGATTCATGAATCTTCTGAATGGTATCCCTTTGGTCTCCAATAACTTGTTGCCATCTGAGCCCATCAGTTGCTCTGCAGACAAACCTGCTGTCTGGTGATCCATAGAATTTAAACCATTCTCACTGTCTATTTCATTTAAATCTTCATCAGAACTAGAGTCATTTAGCATGCTGTTAGTTTCCAGGTCAGTAGAAGAATTTGTCATGTCAGACATTCCATAACGGGATCTTTCTGCCAAGCTAACTAGGCCAGAATTGTGAGGTGACTTCGGCTTCATCTGAGGATAAGACATGGGAGAAAACTTGGAAGCTGAAGAAGAATTGGGCCTCATGATGGAGTTTCCCACAGAGCTCCGGAAGTTGGAGACATTAGTGTTGGGTATCTCTCGGCTTGCAGAATTCATGGACAGATAGGTGGAGTTGGACGGGGGGCTGGGAGCATCATTGTTCTGTACATCAGGTACATTAGTCCCTTCTTGTCTGAGACTCGAAAGGATCTTGACCATACTGCGGTGTTTCTTCATCATGTGATCACACCAGCGTTCTCGGCGGGGCGTCTGGTAGCTGCACCACTCACAACAAAAGTTGCCTCGAGACTTGGTCAAAGGCTTGACCATGGATTCTAAGATGCTGCGCTCCACCACCTCTGCGGGCAGTTCCTTACAAGGGTCCTGAAGAGACATGGGTGGAACCACAGCATCTGGCATTGGAGTAGGATCAGTGGGGGAAGCAGTGGTCTCCTTCAAATTGTTTTTGTGGTACATCTTCTGATGCTTAATTATTCTTGCCCTTCTTGGTGACTTGTACGTGCAAAACTGGCATGAGAAGACCTTTCCAAATCCCTCGTGCATCATGATATTATAGTTTAAGGATCCTGGAATAGGCGATTCCGCCGAACTCCCTTCAGCTTGAGCGCCATGGACCTTCCTCGTATGTTCTATGAGGAGGTTTTTTGACCTGAAGTAGCGTACGCAGAACTTGCATTGAAAAAACTTGTTTGTTGGTTTGGGATTAGGGGCAATATGCTGACCGTAATATCCTGGACTGTGGCCATAGTAACTTCCGGTCCCCAATGCAGCTGCATTTTGACCTAGAGAAAGAGCAAAAGGAAAATGGGAAGAGAAAAGAAAAATAAATAAAATTAAGCAATTGTCATGCATCTCAAATGTTACTCCATCAATAAGCATTCCGTTAAAAAAAAAAAAACAAAAAAAAAACCTCACAAAGTCTCAAGATAAGGACCTGAAGAGTATTTACAAAGTATTAATGAACATCCATGTATTTATTGTACCTTCTCATGGATGAAGAGGCATTAAATAGGTATACTACTCTTGAAGAGGCATTATATAGGTACACTACTTAGGTACACTACTCTTCTAGAAATCTGTCATAGAGCTTAAAAATTTCAGTTCCATAAACCTTACTATTCATTTTAGAACTTCTCAAAATACTACCTTTGCCTCAAAACTAAAGGGAAACTCAGAAATCTGAGGAAACTGAGAGATCAATAACAGAAGATACTCAAGAGGAGAAACATGATGCCCAAACCACAAAAAATGGCTCAACAAGTACAAGGAACTCTATAGAAGGCAGAAGCCAGGTATATCAAGAACCATGGTTACAGGGTAAAAATAAATAGGAGCAAATAAATTATATCAGACATGCTGAATTTATCAGACATGCTGAATTTTGTAGAGATTTACCTGATAAATCCTCTGCAATCGCAAATTCATCCTTTATCGAAGAAAACTCCACCTCTGTCTGATTACTGGCATTCATGGACCCCGATCTTGGCTCATTAATATTGTCCTCAGCAACATCAGTCGGCTGCAGGAATGCCGTATGAACATCCTGAATATGCGCCTTGAGATCTTCATAAGATGGGGCTCTGAAGTCACAGCCATCACACTGAAGCACCTCCATGGTCTAGGTCTATCCTCTCACATTAGGAACCTGTGGCAGATGTCAGAAGAGACCATCTTAAAGAGTGGGGACCAATCAAACACCCCAAGATGATGGGCGACAAGTCCATTAATGGGGGGGGGGGAGAAACTCCAATAGAAATGGCAACTTAAATACTGGCTAAAGGAAGGCCATAATAGAAATAGTGTCCTTAACTTCATAACTTCAAAGAAGAAAAAAAAAAGATAAACTTTTTCTGACTTGGTAAGTATATCTTCGAATGCCATTTGCCCAGGAAATCCTTAATCCATTTGGATTCAGATGCATCAAATTCAGAAAGGATCTGAATTTCTCAACAGAATTCAAATTTCTTGATAAATTAATATCTTTGGTTCTGCCTTGGACTCAGAAGTAAAATAGATGTCTGTGCTGAAAAAAAAATGAGCTATTTGATCTTCATTAATTGTTTTAATATCAATACATTGTTATGTTATCACCAAGTTGTGAAATTGTACTGAATCTCAGAAAATAGGCCTGTAGTTTTTATTATCTAAAAATAAAGATGTTGGGGTACATTTCTTCCTGCCCCAAACCATCTAATCATTTTTTTTTTCCACATGAGCTAAATGGGTATTTATCCATTCACTATCTGCCAATTATAACCTAACAGCTTCTCCAATCTAATTAGGTCATAAAATACTTCTCTTGAGATTTTCAAACAACCAACGTTAGATGACAATCCAGTTTCTAATTTAAAGTTGCACCTTAGTGCCTCCATTTATAAGGCAACAGAAACTCACTGCTTTAAAAAGGGGCTTCTAAGTCATGACTTCATCTTTTTCTTCTTCTCTCCTTTACAAATGTCTAACATCTACTACCCGGACACAAAAAGCAGGGAACCTGGTGTGGAACAAAGCAAAACTTGCCCAACTAACTTTCTTGTGCAATTTACCAGGCAACTGAAATACTTAAAAGAAAGCTGTACATGAACTCAATGAAGAGTGCCACCATCAAGCAGTTAAGAATGTATTGGAAAGGTGTAGCTCTTCCTTTCTTAATATATATCCCCAGTCAAGATACACAGATATTATCTTAATGAGTTACTTCATCAAGTTCACCACAAACTTACTCTACTGAGTCACTGCAATCTAGAACCAGATGTCCAAGAACAAAAGCTGTAGCCAAATCTGTTTTATGATGCAACTGTGTATGCTCTATTATAAAAGACAAATTATTACTGCAGGAGGAGCAAAGTTCAACCAGAGTGTGTCAATGTAGTGAAAGTGGCCGGTGCATGAGGATTTACTATGAAAGAATGTTCCTCCTGATAGTCTGCTGAAATAACTTCTGGCAAGTCCAGCTCTGGACAGACTGAGCTTGCAGAGTGAGACCCGGATATTTACCTACTCTTCTTTCACTCAGCAATTTATCCCTTGTCAATAAACATTGAACTGTGCACCAGAGTCTTTTCAGCTAACTAAGTCTTAATATTCCAGATACACAAGCTTTTATGTCTAAGCACCAACCCAAATTGTGTGGAAGAGGTTGCTATCAGCTTTGGATCAAATTACAGCAGTCACCGAGGCCCCACCCCACTTCTCCTTTCACACAGTCCATTAGACCTGAAAACAAATTTTTCCATGGTGCAGACGACTCCTGCATTTAGAACATTTAGAGAAAAAAGCAGATCATCCAGGGTGCACTCCCCATCCCCCCAGCTTAGTCCTTTCATCTCAGCCAAACAAGCCACAGCTCTGCTGAATGTGTTTATCACACTTTCAAGAGATATGAGCTCCTGTGTCACCGAAGCTCTAAGACTCACTAAGCTGCCCCTAGTCCTCTGAGCTTTAGAAGCAGCCATTTTAGCTCAGAGCTTCTCCTCCGTGCACAACATGGCCTCTCTTGGATTCTGCTAGGCTGACAATCAGAAATGAATGTGAGAAGAGCAGGCTGGGCTCCTCCTATACTCTTCCCTTCCCAACAAAGAATGAACTGTTTTCAACGCTTTCCGAAAAGCAGCACCTTTCTCCTCCTCAAATGTCATTCACCAATATCTCCGAAGGTTCTTTTATTCCATGATTGATAGGCTTGTTCGTTTAGTGCCAGCAAAGCACTGGGTTGAGCAGGACTGTCCTGGACCAGACCCTGTTCTTCAGTAGGATTTGGGGGTGGGGTGGGGTGGGGTGGGGAGACCTCCAGAATGCTTGAGCTTCTTGGGAGTCGTCCTTCCACACAGAAGACATACCATCTGACTCTGCTTGCCAGATTCCAAAGTCTAATGACCTTTGTTAATCACCAGCCAGTCTGTCTGCATCAGCAGACCCTGCCAACAGACACACCCTTCAACACAAAGGCTGTAGCTATTCCTTTTAAAAGAGGTTCTCTGAAAGCTCCATTGTGTAGCTGAGAGGAAAACAAAATCTCTTCCCTTCAAAACTTCAAGCCTTTAGAAATAGTGCAACAAAAGGCTTTCTGCTGTGTGTCTTTTGGAAAGTTTGAGCCTGGTTTGCACCACACCAATAGAAATGACAGTTCTGCACAAGGAGAGCAGGGCACCTTCAGCATTAAATCATACACCCAGAGATGAAATCCATCTCGGTGCAATTCTCTAATCTCTTGGTATCTTCCAAAGCCATTACTGAGAATGCTCACTTCAGTGGACATAAACACAAACAAGACTCCTTGTTCTGCTACAAAAGGAGATTAAAGGGTTATATGATCAAAACAAAACCAAAAAAAAAAAAAAAAAAGGCATTGATTTGGATGGTGTAAGTGATTTCCTAATGGGTTCTAGCTTTAATGTTGTTGCAATCTGACCACAAAAATAGCACAGAGTCTTAGAAGAGGTTAATCTCCAGGCTGTTGAGAGAACTAGCATCAAGCATATCTGAATGGCCTTCAATTTGATGCTTTCACCAAGTAATGAAATGAGGATGTAGCTGACTTTGGCAGCCACATTTTGCCTTTGTGTAACACATTTCTCCTGAAGATGCTAACAGAAGAAGACAGAAACTACCAGCATGGCCTAAACAATCAAAGAAACAAAAGCTTGATGTATTTATGAGATGGTGGATGTACACACATCAAAGAAGTGAGACTGGGAGGAGAAGAAGGGAGTAGGGAAGACAGTGACAAAGACAGCTAGACCTGAGAATGACCCATTCATCAACTAACGAGTCTGTGGCAATCCTCTGAGAAACCAGCAACAAGGAAAACGTGGTAAGAAATAAGCTCTGCATATTTGACTCTACCATCGACTCAGAAGAGCAGCAACCCTAAAAAGGCTAAAAGAGACACTGATCTGCTACAAAATGATAATTTAAAGTTAAAAGCCTAGATCTCATGTCAACTTACTTCATTTAAAAATACTGTGATTATGAGATTACCAATATATATTTTCTTACCAAATCAGCAAAATCAAGAGCAGAAGAGGAAGCTTCTCAACTAGCTAAAAAGAAATGCTATTTCAAAAGGTCATGAGATGCATCCACAAACCAAACAAACCCCTCATCTCCATGCCCACAACGGGCACTGTTTCCAGGCTCCTCAAGGTCAAACAAGACTTCAGACAACATAACTCTAAACATTATCTGTGATGATGCCCATTAGGTGCATACAGGTTAAATCCAGAAGTGAAGAATCTGCTGCTTAATGTGATTGGTCCTCCTTATATTATTCTAATTACTCATTACTCTTCTTTACTGAACTATCCGTTCTTATAATTCAAAATATGGGGCTTTAGTGAGAAACCCCAAATCCAACTGTCAGCATTTGACAAACTCTTGAAGACATACTTATCTATCCAGAGATTTTGTTGAAGAATTAGAATATGCAGCTGGGAGTTGGGAAATGGGAATTATGGACACAGGTTGCTCCTCTCAATCTTAAGAATGCCCATTTTCATTTATACCATCTGCCTATACACACTATGCCAAAATACCAAGATCCAACATGCCTCAGTTTCTCTTCTGTCAAGGTGAGAAGAGACAAATCACAGCTTTATCATGTGTCCTTCCAACTCACTGCTAAGATTTGGCCTGAGGGACGAAGTGTCCTTGATCATTTCACCACATTGTCAAACTCCGCCACCACCAATCCTGGCCAAGGTCAGCTTGGCAAACACTACTCATTAAGCTTGCTGGGCCCAGAGGTGTCAATGTGGTCCTCAAGTAAAAATCCCCTTTGTATCCAAGAAGTCTCCAAATGAAAAAAAACATACAGACCTTGCCTGGATCTAACCTTTTCTCTGAATGAAGGCTTCCAGACCAGAAATAAAAGAGTGAAGTGAAGCACCGCAGCCATGTGATTCAAATGCAACGAATTATAACCTTCAAAGCCTTGGAGAAATAGAACTAGAAACACCATAAGGTGCTTTTCCTCTGTCCACTCCAGAAACCTAGTTTCACTTATAAGACACTGAACTCCAAAGTTCTGAATCACAATGCTAATGAAAAGATTTTAATTGGCACCTGTGATTTGTGCATTTCTTACTTCTCTTTCTTATGAATGGAAAGCTTAATTATTCAAGAAAAGAAAATGGAATACATAAACTTTGGAATATTTCAGCTAGGAAAACATAAATAACCTAGAATCTAAAGACTATTCTACAAAACAATTCATATGATAAGATCAAAGAGTGGTGGGATATGGTGGATTATATTTATATTCTATGATCACTACTAATCATTTATTCTTGTCATGGCCAATATGGAAGAAGTTCTAATATTATAAGAATCACTTAAAGCATCTTTCCAAGTAGTACTGAATTGAGATTGAGAACTCCCATTAGGAGCAGAAGTTGTGAAATCAAGCTTACATTTGTAAACACAGAGTGAGGGATGGAGGGTGGGAGGTATAATTTTGTATGTGTGTGTCATTTGAAATAAGATATGGATACATGCTCTCTAAATTTTAACAAGAGTTCTGCTGGGCCAGAATCAGTTTTCTTCTGAATATGCTTTTGTCTGGCATATGTATTGTGTTGTTGAGTTCTGACTCATAGTGACTGTATAGGGTTTCTGAGGAGTGTCTAGTGGGTTTGAACCACTGGC